CAAATGTGCTGTGATTGGTGGATGACAGAGTGTGGGAGGGGGTTTTGAAGTGAATCTGTGTGGGTGAATGAGAGTGTCAGTTATGAAAGGCAGTTATGAAAGGCAGTTGGAATTGTTCAGTTGGTGTTCAGTCAGTGAGGGGTAATATAGTTCTGTGTGAGATTGTAAAGAGGGGAGTATAAATGTCCTTAGCCTGAGTGGCTGACTAAAGGAAAGAAGAGAAGAGATTGGATTTATACCCCGCCCTTCACTACCCAAAGGTGTCTCAGAGCGGCTTACAATCCCCTTTCCCTTCCCCTCCCCACAACAGACACCCTGTGAAGTAGGTGGTGCTGAGAGAGCTCTGACAGAAACTGCTCTTTTTCGAGAACAGCTCTTATCAGAACTACGGCTTGCCTAAGGTCATCCAGCCAGGTGCAAGTGGAGGAGTGGGGAATCAAACCCAGTTCTCCCAGATTAGAGTCCGCACACTTAACCACTACACCAAAAGAGTGAATCCTGTTAATGTTGGAACTGAGTGTAAAACAAACAAAAGTAAAGGGAAAAAAGGCTGTGTGTTTGATACATTTGCACAACATATTTACAAGTCCCTTTATCTTAAACAGTTACAGGATAACCAACCTCTGATTTTTGTTCTTAGTTCAATAAACCATCTTTTGTTTAAGGTACCCCACAACTGAATTCAGTCCTTCCTCATGACCACATAGATCCCTAAAAAGCCTAGACCCTGGGTTACTTTACCAGAAAGAGGAACAGAGAGAAGGTTTGGAAATCCTTAAATTCCTGGTGGCAGCTGAATCTACCCAGTTTAAAAAAGGAAGAGCACATTTAAAGGGAAAACCAGTCCTCCCTAATAAGAGGACGCCACACCTCCCCCTGCAGAGTCTTCCTTGGTGGTCTCTCTTCCAAGTACCAATCCTGCTTAGCTTCCGAGAGCAGGCGAGATCAGGCAATATACCAGTGGTGGCGAACCTATGGCACGGGTGCCAGCGGTGACACTCAGAGCCCAGCCCTCTCTGCGGGCACACGTGCCATCGCCCCAGCCAGGCCCAGACCATCATTAAAGTGTTGAATTCTCTGCCAAATAATTTTAAGTAAATGAAAGCATTTGGGATTGCTTTCCTTACTTTGTTTGGATCATCTTAAGTTAATGTATGAGTGGTTTTTTCTAAACTAAAACCTCAGTATTTAGGTTAAATTATCGTGTTGGCACTTTGCGATAAATAAGTGGGTTTTTTGTTGCAGTTTGGGCACTCGGTCTCTAAAAGGTTCGCCATCACTGCTATATACCATGCCGCCAAGCTTTCGTTACTTTGTATAAATCCAGAGTGGAAAAATTATGCCTTCTATAATTTTCTTAGTTTCAATAAAACTGGTATCTGGCCTCTGCAGTCTGCAGCATGCACCAGCAGGAGATTCCAGTTGTGGAGATAGCAAGATACAAAGAACACCTGAGGATCCCTCCAAACAGTGTCATGCACTCATAAGAACACAAGAGAAGTCATATTGGATCAGGCCAATGGGCCATCCAGTCTAGGGTTGCCAATCCCCAGTTGGGGGCAGAGGAATTCACTGGTTTGGAGCTCCTCCCCCCCATTTCAGGGCTGTCAGAAAGCGGGGGTGGGGTGGCTGCTGGGAGCTCCATTATACCCGAAGGAGACCAGTACCCATAGGGTATAATGGAGAATCAATCTGGGGGTATCTGGAGCTGGGTGGGGGGCATTTTTTGAGGCAGAGATACCAAACTTTCAGCATAGCTGGTGGTGCCTCTCCTGAAAAAAGCCTGGCAGCCCTGATCCAGTCCAACACTGGATCACTGGGTCACGCAACAGCCAAAACCCAGGTGCCATTCAGGAAGTCCACCAGCAGTGCCAGAACTCCAGAAGCCCTCCCACTGTTGCCCCCCATGCACCAGAATATCGCTGTCCCACTCCTTTGGCACCATTATGAGAGCATTGGCCACAGATATTAGACACCAGCAATCCATATCTTTCTGCCGCTGTATCCAAAACAATGCCTGCAGGACCTTTTCCTGTTGTGTCTGTGACATCCAGGAAAGTCCAAAAAAAGTCCTCCTTGATGTCTAATGTTTTGCTGTTAACAAAGAGGGAGGAAGTGTGTGGGAGGAAAGTGGGCAGACTGTCCCTTGGCGCCTTGCTCAGCAGCTGCTTCCTTCTTCAGGTAATCCACCGCCGAAAAGTAATAAAGTTGACATTCTCCCCTTTGCTGAAGTTTGCAAGTTTCGAGGGACAAATTGGTTATTTCAGAGTAGGGTTGGGCTTTGGTACCCACCCCACCTCACCCAGTGCTGATACCAGTGCTGCCAGGTGGCCATATAAGGTGGTACAGCTGAGAAGCAGGTCTCTGATCAACATGCTTGGCATTTAGGAGATAAAATTATTAAGATGGCACAAGTGGGTAAAGTCACCAACCTCTATGTCAGTGGTGGCGAACCTATGGCAACTCTGCGGAGGGACTCTTCATCTTCATCCAAGCCAAAGGCTTTGTAGAAACGGAGCAATGCTCCTACCAAGATCAAAAGCCAAAGAAAGTCCTGGGACAGGAATCGCCCCAATAACACAGGATACAATAGCGAGTTTCCATATAAGGGCCTCCATAGCAGCCTTTTCTTTTTGAGGATTGTTCTGGAGAAAAGGGGCATAGCCAGAATTAAGGCATGTCTCTTGAGATCATCCAGGTCATTTTCTAAGGTTTCTTGCAGATCTGGGAAATCATACATACTCAAATCTCACCTGGAGATGAGGAAAACCCCTGGATTAGATCCCCCTGCCTCTATCAGCGCATGACAACAAGCTTTCCATATCTTCTGAAGGGATTTCTCCATACTGAAGTTTGGGTCCCTGATTTCAGCAGCTATACTGTCATCCATTTTGGAGCGCCCAAAGTAAAATGACTTCTTCATCTTCTTAATTTCCTGGGCCAGGAGGACGTCATTCTCAGTGAAACGTTCTGAGCTGACAATCATGAAGAAATCATATTGGCTAAAGCGGACCTTCTCTAGGTAATCCTTTGGTCTAATTCCGGTGTCCCAATTCCTGGTAGATCCCATATGGTTACATTGGAAAATAAGGGATGTGGATAGGCTTGAAATTCCATAGTTGTTTGTGTTATTTCAATCTCAGCTGCGCCTTCTTCATAATCTGTCATACCCCTCAGGGCATTGACAAGGGATGATTTACCAGTGCCTGAGACTCCTGTGATGGCGATGTCAAGCCTGACATTTTGTGATTCCTCCAATTCTTGACAAATTTCTTCAGTCACTTCTTTGAGATTTCTGTGCATCAGAGCATCCCTCAGCTTTGCAAGGTCGATTTTTAAGACTTTTTGAAGGATAATGAAATGGATTCCACTTCCTTTGGATGGTTTGGTTGATCTAAGAAACAAAAAGAAATATCTAGTTTATTTAGGAAGTTTTAGGAAGTTCCTACCCTCACCCGTTTATTAAGCAAGTATTCGAGGCTGCTTACAGATAAAAGTTTTTAAAACTTGAAAGAGAATGCCATCCTTAAAAACCTAATAACAGGAAACCACCAGAAGTAGGAGCAGAACAGTAACAAACAGCAATAAATTTAGCAATAAAAACCGCCATCAGCAGCTGTCAGAAAAGCCACCAGAACAAGGATCTTATCAGGAGAAAAATCCAATGCAACGACTGGATGCTCTTCAAAATAGAATAGGTTTTATAGAGTCATAGTAGGTTTACAGAGATCCTGCAGTTGTTGACGTGTTCTGTGTAATGCTGAAATGTATCAAAAAATCATGTTGAAAACTTGTTGATCAGTTTTCTGCATCAAAAAGAGATGTGATTCTGCAACTGGAAGTCTAACTTTTAACTAGGGCAACGTCCCTCCCTCCCTCTTTACTGCGTCTCCCCTCAGTGGGTCAGAACTGCGTACCTTAAATAGATCTGTGAGGTCTTAATTTTAATGACAACTGCACCAGATGAAGGTTCTTGTGGTATTTTAGTAGTGTTTTAATTCTGTTAATTTTTTTTATATTGTATTTTTATCAAATCTTATGTAACCCCCCCCCGAGCCCGCCACACGGGGAAGGTGGGCTATAAGTCAAATCAAATAAATAAATAATGGTGAGTTCTTTCTGACCCTAAAATGTAGCCCCAGGGGGACTGGAGCCACACCCTGGGAAAGAGAGTCATAACTGTTCTCTCCACCCATTTCACTAATCTGCAGTTAGGTCTCTTAAGAGCTTCAAACCCTGGTGAGGAAAAAGAGAGGTAGATAGTACATTGACTTTGCCATATGGGAGCGCGACTTAAATTCATTTAGTGTGTTTATAAATACTAAATATATACAGTATGTTTGATTACCATAATATACTTATACCTATGTTTAAAAGTATTGTGCAGCTTTTTAAATTGGGATAAAGGTACAAAAATAGTTAATTCTCATCCATGTAGTTGCTCCCCTACCTCTGAACCAGCTCCCCATTTTTTAGACAAATGTTTTGTTCATACACAAAGAAAATAAATTCAAGAATTGATTAAACTCAATGTACTTGTCAGCTGGTCTTAAAAGATGTCTCCTTAGCCTTGATTTCATTCTCTAAGGTCCTTTGCAGGAGGGGGAAATCGTACTTTTTCTGATACCAACTGGAGACAAGGAAAATCTGCGGAGAAGAAATACCAGCCTCCACCAAATTATCAAAACAATATTTCCTGACTTTCTGAAGGGTTGCTTCCTCATTGAAGCCTGGACGCAGTTTTTCATTCTTAATGCTGATGTCCATTTTGGACCACACGTAGCAGAACCGCTTCTTCATTTTCTGAATTGCCTGGGACAGCTGGATGTCGTAGACGGTGAAGCGATTCGAAGCGACGATTATGAAGAAATCATATTGGCTGTAATTTACCCTTTCTAGGTATTCCTCGGCTGTAAAATCAGGTGTTCCAATTCCTGGCAGGTCCCATATTGTGACATCTGGAAAGTTGGAGTGTGGATAACCCATTGGCTCCATTGTGGTTTGCGTCACACCAGTTTCGGCTGCACCCTCATCAGAATCTGATAGACCCCTCAGTGCGTTAATGAGGGACGATTTGCCAGCACCTGATACCCCTGTGATGGCAATATCAAGTGTGGTTTTCCCTGACGCAGTCAATTCTGAGAGGTTTCCCTCTTCCCTGGCAGACATCTCTTCAGGTTCACTGTTTATCACTAGTGCTGAACTTCTCCCACCCATGGCTCTTCTTGAAGATTCAGTTGACCTGAAAAATAAATACAAATATCGTCATTGTTAATTCCTCTATATAATGCTCCCATCACATTTTACTCTGGCAACCTGAATTCAACTCTGTGTGTTGGGGGGGGGGGGGGATCAATTTACTTACTGCTCCCAGGGTAGAAAAACAAACCCTTATCAGATGCATTATGCCTTTACCATTTTTATTCATAAAAGTATCTATACCCTACTTTTCCAAAAGAAACTTGCATCCGAAGCAGCTTACCAGAAGACAGTCGTACTAGAAGACAGCCTATTGGAAGGACAAAAACAAGAAGTGATTTGTTTTATATTGTAGCCAGCTGAAAAACAAATTAGAGCAAAACACACTGCTAAATCTGGTTTGTATAGAAATTTTGATTTCTGTTTCTATAATCCATGCCTTCTCCTGTGATTGCATTCTGATGACATGCTGTGTTTCCTGTTACCAGCCAAATGATGAGGCACAGATGGCCTCGATAGCCATGTCATAAACCCACATTCTTCACACTTCCATGCTAGAAGCTAGGCCGTACATGAGTGTAGGCACATAGCCATGAGGTACCTGGAAAGTAGGTCAATTGCTTGCAGGCGTGGCCTCCCAAATTTATAACCAACCCTGTGTTGCAGCTATGGCAACCAACAATGGACACACCCCATGTCCACTCGCAATTGGCTGAATAGCCACAGCTGATTGGGACTGGAATGGGCCTATAACTGGTCATTCCCTATGGGAGACATTCTCTCCCTACTGCTCTTGTGTTCTGTTCTTGTTCCTGTTCATGAGCTCTCTGCTCCCTTGTTTTATTGCACCTGGACATGTGGTCTGTTGGAGAACAAAGGATTGTTTGGTGAGCTGAGCACATGCTTGCAGAAGATGGGATTCCTGCTAAAAATCCCTTGGTGCTACTGGATCATCACAATGGACTGTTCTGGACTGATAATTGCTCCTGACTTGGTAAATATGTACCTGTACTGTTAGTTAAGGCAAACTGCCTTAGGCTTGTTATTTTGAAATCTTTTCTAGTCTACGCTAAGTTCTGTACTAAATAAACTTATTCTGGTTTCTAAATGGTCTCTGATGTTGTAACTGAGATTCCAAGTCTATTTTCCTGTGCCTAGCTGGCCACACGCTACCATTGAGATAGAGTTAATAGTGTGTTCAGTCCCAGATGCCAGCTCAGAGATTTGGAGTCTCTGCTCTGAGCTGGAGGGGACTATAGATCATTGTAGAGACTCTGGTAGCATATTGTTCTGAATCCTGAGAGGGTAGCCTACCTCTCTGGATTGTTGTTTAATGTACTGAAAAAATATAGGATTCTCTCTCAACCTTGGACAGGCTTGAGGGGCAGAAACCTATACATGGGCCACCTCCCAAAAGAGGGGAAAGGTTCCTCCCACTAGTGTGCATGAACACTAATGAAGGCATACACCCTGGGAACAACTTTCCAGAGAGATGGTGCCACCACCAAAGAGGTCTGGTCTTTGGTCCTCACTTCAAAGGTACTCAGACATGGTTAGAGATGTGCATGAACTGGGAGAGTGTGGTTCAGTTCAGTTCATGGTGTGTCCCATTCATGAACCAGAAACCGTCATGAACAGTGTTCTCTCTAAGCTGAGTTAGTGTGAGCCAGCTCACAGTTTTTTAGCCTCCAGCTCACACATTTTTGGCTTCGCTCAGGAAGGATGGCTTGAGAGCAAGCTAATTTAGGCAGTAGCCAAACCGCTCGCTCACAACTTTAATGCCAGTAGCTCACAAAATAGAATTTTTGCTCACAAGACTCCACAACTTAGAGGGAACATTGGTCATGAGCATTTAGAAGAAGAAGAGATTGGATTTATACCCCGCCCTTCACTAACCAAAGGAGTCTCAGAGCGGCTAAGAAGAGATTGGATTTATACCCCGCCCTTCACTAACCAAAGGAGTCTCAGAGCGGCTTACAAACTCCTTTCACTTCCCCTCCCCACAACAGACACCCTCTGAGGTAGGTGGGGCTGAGAGAGTTCTGACAGAAACTGCTCTTTTTCAAGAACAGCTCTGACAGAACTATGGCTTCCCCCAGGCCACACCAGCAGCTGCAAGTGGAGAAGTGGGGAATCAAACCAAGTTCTCCCAGAGTAGAGTCCGTGCACTTAACTACTACATCAAACTGTGATGTGATAGAATTCCACCCCCACCCCCCTTGCGGTGCTAGAGACACCAAACTCTCAGAGCATCTCCAACGGACTCTATTCTACCTGCCCTCCACGTTTTGTGAGGACTGAATTTATGGTGCTCCCAGGAAAGTTCTTTCTAGGAAAATGACGTGTAGATTTAGGAGTATATAGATTCTCTGCAAACTAGAGGCAACAGACTCACAGGGATCTCCAGCGAACCGTTTTGTGAGGACTGAATTTATGGTGCTCTCAGGAAAGTTCTTTCTAGGAAAATAACGTGTAGGTTTAGGAGTATATAGATTCTCTGCAAACTAGAGGCAACAGACTCACAGGGATCTCCAGCGAACTCTCCTCTACTTGCCTTCCACGTTTGGTGAGGAGAGCTATGAGGCAGAGTAGCTGGATCCCATGGTGACGGTGGGGGTCCCTCGCCCCCAGGCCCCATCTCCCTACTGCTGATCTGCTCCCTGGCAGGGGGAACTCACCCAGGAAAAGAGAGATCATTAACCATGTGACTCAGAAGTTTTCCCATCACTTTCAGGACTTCGGGGGTAACACTGTGGTATTTGGGCAAAACCTCTATGGTAGAAGCCAAATTTACCACAGAGCTGTTTTGGCCAAATGCCAGAGTGCCACCCCAACGTTCCAGAAGTGATTATGTCACTTTGTCATACTTGAAATTTATGTAGTGTTGCTAAATGGAATACTTGTAATACTGAATTTTCGCATTTTACAGAATATATGGAAATCAGTAGGCTGTATTATTTACTGTTTTTAGAAATATATCTGCAGATAAAATTATTACTGGTGCCACCACCAAATCTTTATGATTTTAAATCATAGCTCTGGGTTCCTTTGAATTATGCACTTGTCTTTTCTAGGGGAGCGCATAGGGAATGGCCAAGGAGTATTCAAATCCTACAATTTTCGTTTAACTGATCCATGTTGTTCCCTTTCCAGAGCCTTCTTTTTTAAAAAAATACAACTTTTACTCATCCATCCACATATCAAGACATGCATTAAACCACTAACTAAACCCAACATACCTATTTTGGTTTCTCTTTTCAGAGTCCTGCAGAACTGCTAGTCTCAAGATACGTTTGCTGAGTTCAACGATGTCATTCTCTAAGGTCCTCAGCAGGAGAGGGAAATCGTACATATCCTGACCCCAAACGGAGATGAGGAAAACCTCTGGAGAAGCAATGCCAGCCCCCATCAAATTACGGAGGCAATCTTTCCTGGTGTTTTTAAGAGTTGCTTCTTTGTTGAAGTCCGCTTTCCGTTTTTCAATCTTAATGCTGACATCCATTTTGGAGCGCACGTAGTAGAACCGCTTCCCCATTTTCTGAATTGTACGGGACAGCTGGATGTCATAGGTGGTGAAGCAATGACAAGCCACAATGATGAAGAGATCATATTGACTGTTCTTTACCTTTTCTAGGTATTCCTTTTCTTCAAACCCAGGTGTTCCAATTCCTGGTAGGTCCCATATTCTTATACTTGGAAAGGCGGGGTGTGGGTAACTCTTTGGCTCCATTGTAGTTTGAGTCACACCAGTTTTGGCTGCACCCTTGTCAAAATCCGACAGACCCCGCAGTGCGTTGACAAGGGACGATTTGCCAGCACCCCACACCCCTGTGACGGCAATATCAAGTGTGGTTTTCCCTGACGCAGTCAATTCTGAGAGGTTTCCCTCTTCCCTGGCAGACATCTCTTCAGGTTCACTGTTTATCACTAGTGCTGAACTTCTCCCACCCATGGCTCTTCTTGAAGAGTCAGTTGACCTGAAAAATAAATACAAATATCATCATTGTAAATTCCTCTATATAATGCTCCCGTCACATTTTACTCTGACAACCTGAATTCAACTCTGTGTGTTGGGGAGGGGGGGGGATCAATTTACTTACTGCTCCCAGGGTAGAAAAACAAACCCTTATCAGATGCATCATGCCTTTACCATTTTTATTCATAAAAGTATCTATACCCTACTTTTCCAAAAGAAACTTGCATCCGAAGCAGCTTACCAGAAGACAGCCGTACTAGAAGACAGCCTATTGGAAGGACAAAAACAAGAAGTTATTTGTTTTATATTGAAGCCAGCTGAAAAAGAATTTAGAGCAAAACACACTGCTAAATCTGGTCCACCTCCCAAAAGAGGGGAAAAGTTCCTCCCACTAGTGTGCATGAACACTAATGAAGGCATACACCCTGGGAACAACTTTCCAGAGAGATGGTGCCACCACCAAAGAGGTCCAGTCTTTGGCCATCACTTGCTTCATTTCTAATAGCAAAGGTACTCAGACATGGTTAGGGATGTGCATGAACTGGGAGAGTGTGGTTCGGTTCAGTTCAGTTCATGGTGTGTCCAGTTCATGAACCAGAAACCGTCATGAACATTTAAAAGAAGAAGAGATTGGATTTATAACCCGCACTTCACTCGGAGTCTCAGAGCGGCTTATAAACTCCTTTCCCTTCCCCTCCCCACAACAGACACCCTCTGAGGTACGTGGGGCTGAGGGAGTTCTGACAGAAACTCTCTTTCAAGGACAGATCTGAGAGAACTTGTGACTGACCCAATGTCACACCAGCAGCTGCAAGTGGAGGAGTGGGGAATCAAACCCAGTTCTCCTAGAGTAGAGTCTGTGCACTTAACTACTACACCAAACTGTGATGTGATAGAATCCCCCCCTTGCTATGCTAGAGACACCAAACTCTCAGAGGATCTCCAACGGACACTCTTCTACCTGTCCTCCAAGTTTTGTGAGGATTGAATTTATGAGGTCCAAGTTATGGCCCCCTCAAAGA